GACGCGGGCGGCGGGACCTCGGCGCGTCTGGGCGGTCCCGCCGCCCGCGTCCCCTGGGGCGAGAAAAGCCCCGTTTGTAAGTACGGATCCGATGTAAGTCGGATCCGCGTAACTCAGGGACTGCCTGTACTATACATAGCAATCATGAATACATACTTTTAGACAGGAGAGCAAATGGTTATTTTAATCATGCAAGGCTTTTATGGTGAATAAAAGTTGTGATTATCAGAAGCAGCCAAAGAATTTCCCCTTCTAAATTGGGTTTTCTTATATAAAAATTGGTGATATTACTCCAACATTATACAAAATGTTAAGTGCAATTCAAAGGGGAAAGTTATCTGTTTTGAGACTTGGAATTTGTAGGTAGAATGATTTATACTGAAAAACACAGAAGTTACAGTAGACTTCCAATAATCCTGAACCTTTGGGACCTAAGTGCCAGATTATCGGATATGCTGGGCTATCAGGAGGTACTATAAGATGGTTTTTTATATATATATATATATACACACACACACATTATATACTGTATATAACGTGTTTTTAACCCTTTTTATTGTAGCACAAGCACTGTCCAGCATCACACTATGCCAGTGGCAGACTGACTCGGTCCCATCCGGTTTCGCTTGGTTCAGCTGCTGCTGCTGCTGCCTTGTGACTCGTTTCTTGCCAAAGCTCACTCACTAGGCTCTTGCCATTTTGATGCTGGAGTATTGGGAGTGCCGTACAATTGGATGCTGAACTACTAGAGTTTTACTGTAATTGCCTGCTGGCAAGGTTGTGGTCCTTTATTTACATTATAAAGATTACCATCATATATGATGAAAAATTTGCAGAAACCATTACTTTGAACTAGTTTCTGGAACTACATAATGTTCCTACATTAATTATTTGTTTTTGTTTTACAACCATTTTCCTATTTAAAAAAAATGTGTTTCTCCCCTATTACTGCCTGAAAGGCCCACGTGGATGGAGGAAACAGACTATGAGTATGTCTAAACTTAATCACGGGGGCTGTGTCTACACTGGGCCACTTATTCCGGAAAATCAGCCGCTTTTCCGGAATAAGCTGCGAGCTGTCTACACTGGCCCTTGAATTTCCGGAAAAGCAACGATGCTCTACTGTACAAAATCAGCCGCTATTCCGGAAAAACTATTCTGCTCCCACTCGGGCATAAGTCCTTATTCCGGAACACTGTTCCAGAAAAGGGCCAGTGTAGACAGCCCAGTCGTCTTTTCCGGAAAAGTGCGTCTACATTGGCCACAGACGCTTTTCCGGAAAAAGGGTTTTTCCGGAAAAGCAGCCTGCCAATGTAGACACTCCTTTTCCGGAAAAACTGAAAATGGAATAGTATTCCGTTTTAAGCAGTTCCGGAAATTCATGCCAGTGTAGACACAGCCAAGGTGTGACTGAAGCTCAAGTTGACATACCTTAGCTAACATTAATTTAGCTAGCTTGGGCACCTAAGTGGTGATGCTATAGCAGAATGTGGCAGGCTGTACAAGCATATCTGGAACCCTGGGGATACACAACACTTGCACTGCTCTGAGACTTGAGCTAGCTGGAGTAAAGTTAGCTCAGGTAGATGAGCGCAGACTGTAATCACATCATGGGTTCACAGTATAGAAATATCCTATAACGAGGAAAACAAGTGAAAATGGCTATCCACAAAATGCCGTTAAGATGCCCAAATTTAACAACCTGAACAAAGAAAAAATAAAGAATTTTCTGATCCTTCTCAATTACAGTCATCTTTAATACTGCTGTAGATACAGTAAATCTCAAATTGTAAGTAAACAAAATTCAGATAGATGTGTTGATTTAAAGCTGTGTCCTTCTTCAACCAGTGTCTGATTGCTATACAATTACCTGTATTTTCTGTAGACTTGTCACTGCTTCGTTGATATTTTGAGGCATGTCAAAGCATTTGGCAGTGGTGATTTTTGAACTGACTAGCCACTGCTGGAAGTCCCTGAAAACTGTCCGGAATCTCTGCTGCAAGACCTCCTCTTTATTCTGACAGCCCTTCGAAGCTTGAAGACATAGGCTGAGTTTTGTCATCATAGGGAGTTAAATGAAAAAAAGGGGAGGAAAAGGGGGATTCAGTTAGACAACATGAAATAGGCATTTTCACAGGTATTACACTAAGACTGAAATTACAAATACAGTAAACTTCTGATAATCCGGCACCTTTAGGACTCAGGGGGTGCCGGATTATCAAATATGACGGACTATCAGGAGGGGGGGCTATGAGGGGTCTGGGGTAGGGTGGGGTGGGAGGG